ATTTATTAAGAGAATTTAAATTTTTTTATTACTAATCTTAATATTTTAATCATAAAAAAAAAACTAATTTCTAACAATCTCATAAAAGAAACTTATCTTAAAATTTCATTTCTGTATCCTTGCATTCTGAAGAAGCATTTTGAACCTGAAAAACAAGAAGCAGAGGCGACTTATCTGCTATTTTCAATGAAATACGTAGTGCAATTGCAGAAGATGACAAAGTTACAAATAAGCTTAAAACAACCATCTCCCTTAGGTTCCAGGGAAAAAGTGATGGCACCTAAAACTTGAATGATCTTTGCTATCTAGCAGCCTTCATTGTTACCAACAAACAAAGCGCTGCCATAACCAAACAGAGGTAGGCCTTCAGGTTACTGAGGCATATCTTAACGTAGTTGAAAAGAGTCTTGGGAGCACACAAGTGAGAGAACACGAACATAGATGAGAAGATGACATATTAAACCCACAATACATACCTATTAGATTTATGGGCCTCCACATATATTCTACTATCATATTGTTTCTTATCAATGTAGGATCTCCTCTCCTGTGAACATGTGAGTCTCTCTTTTGTCAGTGTAATCACTTCGGACTTTAGACCTTGCCATGGACTTTCTCTATTAAATCCATTCTTAAACACTTGATCACACCAAGATCAAACCATCAACTTCAATACCACTTGTTGGGAGACTTTAACGAGTCAGTTCAATAGCACACACATGAAATAACATAAACACATATAAGAAGACGTTATATTAAGCTCAAAAAGTATACTTATCAAGTTCATGAGCCTTTACATAGATATTCTACTAACACATTGTTTCTCATCAATGTGAGATCTTTGCACATCACTCAACTCAACTCCACTCACTTATTCATACACTCCAACACTAACTTTAAAACCATAACTCCCAGAAAACCAAAGGCATTCCAAAGTTCCATACCGGGTTTAAATCCTTTCCAAAATTCATCTTCATTGTCTTGATTATATTGGACGCCACCATATGTAGACTGTAGATCTTTCATCCATGTTAGCAAAACAAACATAGAAAAGAAAAAATTCAAAAGAATTTAGATAAACTATATACATAACTATTTCTTACATCAGCGCTATACTCTTTAATATTTTCGGACTCTTCTCAAAAATAAATTACACTAACTTAACTGCTTAATTGAG